CATGATTAGTTGTCGTCTTGTTTTGGGGTAAACACCTCAATTTGACTAAAATAGTTGCAAGAGGAGATATTTTTTAAGAGAAAACAAAAAAAAAAAAGAAAACCAGTTATGGATCTAGTTGGCCATTTGTGGCAATATTGACAATTCAAAAAAAAAAAAAAGGTAAAATCTCCAACAATGAGGGAGAATGCAGTATACCCATGATCAATATAATAATTGCTAATTGGAATTTAGAATAGGACATATGAAACTCCATCTTATCATGATCCACCTCTCCCAGCCTCATGTTTTGGGCATGTTGGGGCACATGCCTATTCAGTATTTGCTTTTAAAATGTCAAATGTTGAGAAAAAAGTGTTATTATGTAGGCCACAATTTCAACATGCAATTGTACTAAGCCTGTCCTTGCTCGGACTTTGCTCTTTATATATTTTGCTTATTTCTTTTATTTAGTTTTGTTTCTGACCATTTTTCTCATTTAATTTGAATAATAGGAACGTGCAAATTATTCAATGTAATCGGTTTCAGATAGATATAGTTCTAAATTGAAAGTTCTATTGGATTAAAAAAACGTTGTTGCTTTTTTTATTTTGATTAAGAAATTTAATCATCCAAAATTAACCAAATCCAACATATATATAATAGTGTTTATAATAGAATAGTATTTTAAAATATATTTGAGAGCTGTAATATAGCAAAAAAAAAAAAAAACTATCGTTTACAAGATTGCTATAGACTTTCTAACATAGATGAAGCAAACAATAATAGTATTTAATTTATTACACTTAAGGAATAAGCATAAATATTTCAATTGAATTAATTTTATTTTCATTTGGTTCATGGATTAGAATTACGTGATTAGAACCATTTTTGATTTACGTGTATTTTTTATGAGAGAAAACACTGTAACGAATCATGAACTATGATTCAAATCATAGTTTGAATCTTCCAACTAAACATTCCCTTAAACGACATCTCCTTGATGTACTTTTCCGGCATGAGAGACCGCTGGGATGCAATGGTTAACTAGTAATAAGTAAATACAACTCTCTCAAATAATAGTATTAAAATAAAATAACATTAATTATAGTTCATAACATGCTCTTTAGTACGGATTTAAACTCGAAGAACATTATTATTGAGATCAGTTTCTAGGACCTTTAAATTGCTTCACAAACAAAAAGCTCTTTCCTTTGATATTCTTCATGTGCAATAGTGCTGTGTCTTCTTCTTCTTCTTCTTCTTCTTTTTTTTTTGTTGGAAAAGTGATGGGGATCCAATTGCATAAACTGTATCATTTTCAATTAATTTTATATTCCCCCAGTTGCATACAATATAATTACCGCAAGTAATGTCACCAAGATTTTCTGTTGATTACAATTGCAAGATCCTGCCTAAGAGCTTGACATGGACAAAACCAAATCAACGATTGTGTCACCATGATACGGACCCATTTGTTTTATTTCTCAATTAATTATTTTTCTTGGGATTAATTATTACATATATTGACCTTTTTAATTAATTAGCTCTTTACCCTACCCAAAAGTCATAACCCAAGTATGATATAATAATTATGAATACATACAAAGGTTGAAAAATAACATCTATCATTGCCGATCGATTAAAGAGCATTTCTAGCTAGCTCAGACATCCCATGTTTTAGTGATCCCCCCATGGAGTGAAAATAAGTCTCATTGGAAGATAACATCATTAATTAAGAGGAAGTGCCTTGACCTTTAAGCAAACCTTTTGTTCCTCATAATGCCCATTATCTTCTTCTTAATACTAGTTAATTAATTTAAGTATTGTTTATATCATTTTAACCGACACCGCAAAAAAAAAAAAAAAAAAAAAAAAAAAAATTTTAAACAATGGATACGATAAGATTCCGGTGCATGTCATTTAGATCTGCTTTATTAGCACATTGTTGACAAATAAACTAGTTAATTCTTATTTTTAATTCATTTTTTTTGTTGTTTTTATTTGACCCCTTTGGCGTTTTTATTTTAAACCATAAATTTAAACAAATTATAAAATGAAACGTATATTAATAAAACTTCCCAAGAACCTTATCTCATCAACACATCTTTAAACTTTGTCTTTGTTTTTGGCTGCATGGAAATTGTCCTTGAATATGTGGAAGTTTATGTGGTTGGCGTGGACAAAGGATTCCCTTTGAATTAATTATTTAATTATCAGAGCGAGTGAAATGCAATATTTTCTATACGAGCACGCGAGTAGAAGAGAAAAAGAGATCAATATCATTTGGATGGTAAGGGAACAAGTCAGACTATCTTTAATCATTAAATTAGGCCCTTAATCATACTTTTCCCAACTATGCATATGCTTTAATTTAATGCTTTTTTCCTTTTGGTTTTTGGAGGTTACAAACAATAACAAAGCATTGGTGATATCTTGGTATTTGGCATGATGAGTTTGACTTGAGCAAATTTCCGCTGCATGCTTATAGTGGACTCTCTCTCTCTCTCTCTCTCTCTCTCTATATATATATATATATAACTATATCTCTATCTATCCACATTATGGTTAACTTGTTGAAGCAAAGTATATTTGATGGGTTTTGAGAAGGATACTTTTTTGAGTTTAATAATAGTCTATCGATTTTGTTGAAGTGGGGAATGCAAAATGAGATTTTGTGACAAAATATAGGACAAATCAAGTGCTGAGATCAAAGCCACATTATACGAGCATTCTTTTTTGTATGTTTTCTGAACAATTAAAAATGGAGCATGTTAATTGGTTCTAAGATTTGACGTTTCACAATGTTTTTGCTCAACATAAGGGCCCCCATGACCCTTTACTGCCATGCGTTGCTTAGAACAAACAAACAAAGCATGGCCAACAAGAAATCATGTTTTAGTCACCAAGGAGGAAAGAGCAAACGAAACCCCAATAAAAAAAAAAAAAAAAAAAAAAAAAAGGCTAATTTTTATTTTTATTTTTCGACAGGGGTTTCGGTTCAACAAAAGCTGTTTGGTTGATATATCAAAGTGGTATTGGCTTCACTCGTCATCATCTCCCTTTTGTCGCCTATGGAATCCCATGAGCCTTATTATAGAGATAAGAGGAAAATAAATGCAAATACCGCACACTAGTACAAGGTGAATCCCACATTATTGACCTCATAGATAAAATGCGCGTACACCAATACAAGATGGGTCTCACATTATTGATCTTATAGATAGGATCCACTTAATATTAGGAGAGAAAATAACAGTAAATAGAAGATTTACGTCGTAAAAAATCTTTTTACTGCAATTTATTTTAAACATTTTAAAATCTGTTATTTACTTTTATTTTTATTTTTTCAAAGGAATGCTATTTACTAATTTAGTTTCATAAAAAATGTTATTTACTACAATTTTTTTGTAATATTAGTTGGTGTGTTTGACACTATGGTTGCCTAAGAATTTGTCATTATTTTCTCTATATAATTTCGTGCTGAAGTGCTTTTGTGTCTCTCACTCTGGTGAACACTGAAAAAGCCCTTAAAAAGGCCCAAGCCCGTTAAGAGCAGCTAGCCTTAAGGAAGTAGAGGTTTGCTTTTGAGTTTTGATCTGACTACTATGGATTACTTATTAAATCGGAAATAGTAGAAAATAGGTCGATATGAAAAGTTTAAAAAAGTATATAGGTTAATTTTTAGTTATACAAACTAATAGGCCATAACTTGTTAAGTTATAATTTATAACTAGATAAGTTATAGATAAACTTGTCAAGTTATGGTTCATAGTCAGATAAGTTATGAACAAAAATCGTGATTCATAGACAATAACTTATTAAGTTATGGTTCATAGCCAGACAAGTTATGAATAAAAACCGTGATTTATGGACAATAACTTGTTAAGTTGTGGTTCATAACCAGACAAGTTATGGACAAAAACAATAATTTAGCCTATTTATTAACTTATGTAAACTATTGACATATTAATTTTAATTCATCTCAAATTTTAACCTATTTCCCTCTTTCCATTTCCCTACGTAAATGGGAAATACTCATCTAGACCATCTACCTTTAATCGGGGAGAAAATATCGCTAGTTCAAAGCTAGTTTTTGTGATGAAGAAATGTTGCTTTGACACTATAAATATGTTATAAAAAGATGAAATGCATTGGTTTATCGTCAAACGATAATGGACAGAATAATGTTAGAATCACGACCTTTATTTCAACTTTTTAATAGCAAATAGACATTATATATGAATTGTTATTATTTTTTGTCTGATATTTAAAAAAAAAATACTACGTTAATGAATGTCAAAATGATGAAGATATTAACGAACAATTTATTATTATGTGAGTTGGTATTGAAAAATTAGGATATAAATTGGATGTAAATTTGGTTGTATTGCGATGATGCATAATATTACAATATTGCTTGGTCCTACAAAATGTCGATGAATTATTCACCAATACGTTGCTGTTTAGCTGAACATAATACACTATGAGAAAATTAATAAACTCACCCTTTAAGCCTATTGTTCTGAGATTTTTACTTTTTATTTTTAATTAATAACATTTTGACTAGTAGGAATAGATGTTGAAAATGAATTACAAGTGGGATCAAATTGGAGAACGATTTTTAGAGTTTAGTAAGGATTCAACAGTACTTGGAGGCTGGAATTTTCTTTCAAAAGATTAAAAAGAAAAATACGAAGGTATTTGATTTGAAAGGTATGGAAATGAATAGTAAGAAAATATCTCCCCTCTTTGTCCTCTCCCTCCTTTTCTCCTATTTCGCCGATCTTCAAAAAATTCAAAAATTAGAACATTCTAGAACTCAAACTTCAAAAGTGCCAGTTGTGAATTGTTAGACATTAGCATCTAATTCCAACACTTGACATTAGATCCAAAACAAGAATTGTACCCCTAACTACATCCTTCACTAACACAGACAGATGGCACAAGAAGAGGTTTCAATGTACAAACAAGCAAAGTAAAAACTATCAAACATTGCCAGGTTCTTCTGTTTATGCTGCTAAAGATATGGTGTTAAGTAATAAACTTGTTTGGATCAGCATCAACTAAAAATGGAAAAGATAACGGTTAAAAATTCTTAAAAACTATGAGATAAAAGGTACGAACCTCTCATGTTGTATAACAATGTGATGATTTTTACAATGGTGAATGATGATGCGAAGAGCACATCTCAAAATTGATACACCGTTTCCCAATGGGGTATGGCCGGACAACAAAATAAATAAATAAATAAAAATGAACATCTCTGTGACGAGGGGGGCCTCGAGTAACATACCAAAAGCTCAGTCGAGTCCTCTAGCTTGGAGGCGACTTTACAAATTTGAGCTTCTTTTCAATTGCTACGCTTCATTAGTTTTCACTTCCGTTTCCTTCGTTTGCTCTGATTTCTCACAGCCTCATTTTTCAGTCCTCTGACATTAGGGAAGAGATACACAAGTAGTTGATAAGACAAATTAATTAACTACAAGCAAAACCGTAATATAAATTTCGAGACAAAATAGAAGTGCCTAAAACGGGTATCATATTTTTACATACCTAACTACAAACTGGAAAAAGGGTCTATATAACAAGAAGATGAAGAAGCATATCTCTCTCTCTCTCTCTCTCTCTCTCGCTCCGACTAACGGAATACTCTATGAACATGCTATTGAAACAGAAGCACGAGATTCTCATCTCACCAGTATATTATACATGAAGAACCCTGTCTCTAATGAAGGTCGCTGTGATTTGTCAAAGCATTGACTCAGCACGTGAAATGCATTCTAACCATTCTCTTTATTATCTATTCATTTTCATTTTTTTTTCCCAATCAATAATTCTTGTGCAGCCACATATGACCCACACTTAAATTCTCATTTTCCATATAAGGTTCCAATAGGAGGATATTATGCCCGCACGCGAAAGTATCTGTCTGCAAGACGTGGTGTTTCAACATAGTACGTGTTAGTGTCCAATGTCGAAGAGAAAAAAAAAATGTTCATGTTCAGTGTTCCAAAAATAAAATTTCAGTCCTAAGCATGACCAATAACTTTTTTGCTTGAAAGCTCCCATTGGCAACACACAACATCCCCCCCCAGGTTTGAACCTGGGACCTAAGCCAAAACAATAAGCATTGTCCTTTTATTTATTTATTTTCTCAAATAACTTTTCCCAACATAGACACACAGAGACCTGCTTACCTGTTTCTGCGTCTCTTTCTTGACCCTATACATTCTTTTATCTCCTCTTCGCTCAAAATATTTTCAACACTAGACTTTAATAGATTAGAATAATCTATAAATGCAGCCAACTCGGCCAAGTCTGGAACAAGTGACATGTCCTTGACTTTCTCTTTGAGATATTCCATTAGAATGAGCCCTGAACAAGTAGTCCACAAGAATATAAATTATAAAAGCAAGAAAACTTATAATACGCAAAAACATAAGTACTCAAATGAAACATGCAGAAGAAAAACAATTAAGTTGAAAATCAGTGGTTTTGATTAAAGGTAACAAAAACTCAGGCAAACAATTCAAAGGAGCAAATCAATATATTGTTTGGTTGCATGAAGTCAATCGTGAGTACTTGGATAATCTTACAATCCCTTGGTTGAGGGTGGAATGCCTTAGTTTTTCTGAGAAAAAGCTTTACACATAAGAGTTTGTTTGGTGGGAGGGAAAAGTGGAAGAAGGGAGGGGTGAGGGGATTAGTGAATGGATTTTGTACTAGTGATTGTTTAGTTAGAGATAAAAGAGGAGAAAAGCGATTGGGGAGGGATTTTAAATCCTTCAAGAACCCCAAATTTTTTCTCTCCTAATACAAAGAGATTATGGGAGAGAATCCAAGCACATTAAGAGAAAGATACTTCCTTTCCTCTTTATTTAACCTCATCTATGTTATACGTCTTTCTTTTCCTCTTACCAAACATGCCTTAATGTTGTTAAGCAGCAGAGTACAAAGAAAGACGAGTAAAGACTAAAAACAGACGGTTATGCAAAAATTCTGTTTAGCACAATGTCTGCCATAATAAGTTTTCCAACACAACGGAAACATTCCAAGGAAAAGATGGAAAATAGAAAATAGGCTTCTTCCTGTATACTAGAGCATGTGACTTAAAAAAGAAAATAGAAAAATAGAAGCATCCAGACAGACATACCAAGAGCCCGAAGCATCTTCAGGTTAAACTTGTGAGCTAGTTTATCATATCCAACTATTTTTGCACGTTGTACTACCAGCATTTTCAAACTAATTAGCATGTCCTGCAATTAAATTTTCGTAAATTTTAACATTTGTCTCATTGAAAAGCACATGTCATCCGTCAGGAAGTTGGTCCAGCCAATTACAAAATGAAATAAAGTAGTCTAATCTAATGAGACCTCTGGGATTTAAATGAAGTGCATCTTAATAAAAAAACCATAAAATAACATGAGATTGGTGCACAAAAGCACACGAAAATCAGTTTCCACTGAATTAATTAAAGGTCTCGTTCGGTTCACAGAAGTAGATATTACAAAAATAAAAGTCAGAAAAATTACGTTATAATGAAGCGCATCAACTAAGTTTGAAAGTACTTACAAGCTCGGATTCAGACAATGAACAAAGCCAAGTCACATCTTCAAGGCAATTGTTCCCCAATATCTCTTGCGCTTCATCACTTTCAGAGAACATGTTATTTTCTTTTGATCCCACTGCAATGTGTCTGAAATTTTCCGAATTCTGCCAATCCCGGAAATCAATGAAAATCGTGAAATGGGTTTCGTATACCGGACGTGGCAATTTTTTTGAATTGCTTTATTTTTCTACTAGAATCGTTAATTGGGTTCTCGCAAATACGAAGTTCAAACAATATCCAACTAATCACACAACCCAATTTCTAACGAATTTCCAATAGTGAAACTATTATCAACCTTTCCAAAAATAGTAAAATAATCAAGGAAAAAAAATCACAAATAACTAAACACACAAACCAATCAACATAAAATTTTCATCAATATATCAACCAAAAACCACAATAGCAATTTTCAACAATCAAACAAATTCCAAAGATATCAATCAAATACTGATAGGACTGATTATTATCTCCATCGTTCCCACTCCTCAACGTCTCAACAAAAAAAAAATCCCAAATTCAAACAAAAATTAAACAAACAGAAAACCAACCATGGAGGAGCTTGGTTTATGGCTTGAAATCGGCTAGGAAGGTAGGGTGGCTGCTTTCCTCTGCGACCGCGGAGGCTTGAGGGAGACGGGGATCTTGCGTCGATGCTGCAGAGGAGATATCGTCGGCGCTGCGGACAAGATTAGCGGCGACGGAAGAGAGAAGAGATACGGCTAACGAAAGAGCCAAGAGTGCAGGGAAAAGGGAGAATTCCACACTTTTTTTTATTTATTATTTTAAGGAAATTCGTCACTTTTTTAGGTAGGTCTGAAAGTTGTATGCGAAACGTGTTTCGGTCCTTTCGGATCCATATTCTCTGTTAAATTTTGGTGCTTTAATCAGTATTCAACCAATTAAATTATACTATATATCTCATAATAAAAAAAAATAATTAAAAGATATAAAAAAAATTAGTTAAAAGATAATTTATAACTTTACATAACGTGGTGTGATATGATAAGATAGACACTAATTAAGATATTAAAATTAAATAAAAGCGTTAGCCAAACTTAATTAACTCCAAATATATTATAGAGTCTAATTTTATTTTTATTATTCCTCTTTTTCACAATCACGTGTAATAGTTTTACGTTTGTTTTAGATAAGATATTTACTATTCTTTAACAGATTATTGCTCATTATTAATTGTTATATATTTCAACTGTGTGCTCTCTATTTAAAGAATTTTCAAAAGAAAAAAAATTAATAGATAATAAGAAGGTATATTAATTTTGGACATTTTATAGCTTTGGAACTTTTTCCACTTTTGATTCTATGCATGGTACTAGTAGTATAAATATTTCCTTCTGGGTCTCAATTAAAATTTTAACGTGTAGTTTGAGTTTTTGAGGAATTTAACAACCCGTTTATTTTGTTACTTCGAATTATAATTTAAATTTTTATTACAATATTTTTTCTAATAGACCTTGAATCGTTGGATCTTCGTCGGTCGATGAGAATGAGAAGAAGAGAGAAGAGAAGAAGCTTGAGAAAATGGTGAAAATGGAAAGAGAAAAAAGTGTGGCAAAGAGAAAATTTGTGAAGGGTATTTTAGACAATGTGACTTCGTGGCCCTCAATATGTTGCAATGTTAAAAATAAAAGTATAAAAAATGGTGTTAGTTGTGAGATAATTTCTCAAATCAGTGTTATTTTTGTAAATAATCCTTAATATGATCTATTTGCTGGGACTATAAAATTTTGTCGAGAAAATCTCATTAATATTTTCTTAAGAATTTATATAGTTTGCATGGGGACCCAATGAACCTATAAGTAATCAAAATATGCTCACAAAGTTGATTATTCATTAACATAATAGTCACAAAATCACATGAATTGCAAATATGTGTAATTATGAGGTAATTTATGTGTTATGAGGTAATTCATATTCTAAATCTTGATTAAGCTCAAAATTTAGTATCATAAATTTTCTCGCTCATATCACGTTTGGGATGCTTCCTTTCAAGTTTCACATCATTCATCAATTTGGATATTTTCTAATACTTTATTAAGTCTAGGGGTTAATTTGCCTAATTAAAGTTTATGGCGGCAACTTGCCAATTCAGTCAAAGTAAAGGGCAAAAGCACCAAAATGCTTACAAATTAGTAGGGTCAGGTTGTTTTCACTGATGTAAACTTATGATTTGATTTTATTCTCTCACAACAAATTTAAATAACAAATATTCCTATTAATGGTTCTCTCACAAAATTCAAATTCAGAATCAAAATCACTAATTTAAACGCGTAAACCAAAGAGACATTAAGAGACTAGCTAACTAGGACACCGGATTATGGAGAGCGGGTTGTACTCGCCTTGTGTTGAGTTGATGTTATGGGGCAGGCCAAGTTTGGTTGGTGGGTTTGTTTATAGAGAAAAGTACATGGGTTGTAATTATTTATAGAGACTTATTATTTATGTCATTCTAAATAATTAATTGTCATTATGGCTTTTTATTTTTTTCATTAAATTAATGGAAATCGTTTACTTTGACGTAAATAATATTTTTTACTATTTTGGGTGAGATATGTGGTTTTCCCCACTTTTTTATTATCCTTTTAGGTCAAGGGCTTAAGTAACGTCTCGGCAGAATAAAATGTGTTTCACACCGATCATCTATACTCACGTGATGAAGATGCATCTACCAAAAATTTAAAGTGCATGAATGTTACTGAGGTAGATTTCCCAAAAATTAAATTTTGAACGAAAAGACACAAAATGAAGTTAAAAGAATAATGGAGCTATCTAATTAGCTCTTGTATTGAATAAATACCAACATTAAAAAGGAAACAGACTACTAAATTGGAAGCTAACTTCTTAGCTCAAATGAACTGATAGTCACATCATATTTTTTTTTTTTAAACAACGGGCTGATTGCCATTGTTCTACATATTACTTCTTTCTTGTGTTGCAAGTTCCCTTTCAGATCCCTCAGTCTAGCTTCAACTCTCGCGGAAAACCCGATCTGGGCCGTCTTCTTCGAGTTGTTCTGCTCTCTCTGCCACATTTTATCATCATCAACGTCCTTCCCACAGTACTTGATCTCTTGGATCACATGATCATCCATGGGAAAGAACAACCTTTGGATGGCGATATGGATGAAGTAAGGAAGAAGAGAGACAACCATAGCAAGGAATGTGACCGTCCAATACATTGGTGAAGTGCCTAGAGACTCCACCAACAGGTGGAATCCTCCTTCTGAATAAGCAGGAGACAATGCGCCATAGACAAACAAGAAGATGTACCAAAGGAAAATGCTGCCCCATATGAATAGGTGTTGGATCCAAGTGAAGTGGTTAATGATGAGTGAGATTTGGCAGTTTACTGTCCATATTATGCAGGTGTATGTCATGGCACCTAGGTGCGTGAGGTCCGCGACAGCTCCGTCCTTTCGGAAGGAGTTTGGAGAGAGGATGTAGATGTTTGAGAGAAAGATTACGAGAGAAGAAACCACGCCGTTCAGTATCCAACCGATGATTCGGCTCCAAGTAAAATGTGTGTTTCTTTGTCCTTGTTGATAAAGAGCTGGAAACTGTTGGATTTAAAGAAAGATGTAGAAAATGCATTAGAAGCCTTGTACGTTGTGGCGCTGTTATAAATAAAATAAAACAATTTGCCCATAAAAGTATTAGCTAGTTTTGTTAATAAGGTCTCTTAGTGTCACAACCAAGACTTCACTAGAAGAGAGAGAAATATATTTTCTTGTGTGTACTTGATTAATGTTCAATCTTTTTTTTTTTTCTTTTTTTTTTTTTGTGGATCTTTCTTACCTGGAGGCAAACTTCTGATGAAACATCTTGCTCAAGGACTCCCAATGATATAACTGGTAAGGAAGTCAAGATTACATTGAAAAGTGTCATGTACCAGTCATCATATAAGACCTCCCCAGAGAAACTTGTGTACAATTCATAGTAGAAGAGAGTGAGGCCAAATGCAATGTTCTTGTACACAAAGTACAGAATCTACAATAGCAGAGGAAGAAGGTTAGTCTTTATTAGAAATTCCAAGCTACAAAATGGACATGTATTGCTTATTAGATACAGTACAAGTCAGAAACTCACCATCTTGGAAATTCTCTTGTAACACCAATGTCCATGAACTATGAGTAATCTCCCTAAAAATCGGAACTGGGGTAATGAGAAGTCGCTAGCCATGACCGCCTGAAAGTGGTGTTTCATGCAAAAATATTATCTGTGTTTGAAGGTATGTCTCTGTCTTTATTTCATTTCATTGTTCAAGAAAAATGTTTGTTCTACTGTTTTTTTGGTACAACAGAAAATGAAAAATTCATTTACCGTCCATGGTAGAATATAATCCAGCTTTAACAATAAGATAACTCAAGCTGAACAAAAAGAAAATGCCAAAAAGCTAATTCTGGGTTTTAGAAGCCTGCTAGAATAGCAATGTATGAGAGTGATTTTTTTGTCTAAGTTTCTTCACCCTTATCCCTATGCAATATGGGACCTTACTAAACATGAGGAGTTGTATCAAGCCTAAAACAAACTACAATGAGATCAAGAAGGTTGACTAAAAATCAATCATAAGTGAAGTCTTAAGTTACCTGCATTCCTTCCATTCCACTAATCCCAACTCCAATATCAGCTTCTTGAATCATGCCAACATCATTCGCTCCATCCCCGATTGCTAGGATTGTCTTACCAGTAAATTCCTTTACCAATCGAGTGATCTGTAATTTCGACATTTATTCAGGTGAATCAATATTGGAAAAGGAATTAATGAATATGTTTATGGCTAAGCGGAACAAAATTGGTCACTAATAAGACACCTCAGTTCGGAAGAACTAACAATTTTAGAAATTACTTTACATAATGCATAAAGTCAGGAATTTTTATGCCACTAAATAAAAAAAAAAAAAAAAAAAAAAAAAAAAAAACACTGGGGGCAAGAAGCTTAACTGCAGTCAGATATAATTGCAGTATACTAACTTAGATCTCGTATTAAATCTGATAAGATTACCCGTATTGGCAGTAGTAGTAAAAGGAAGGCTATGGACATACCAAAGCCTTTTGTTTCGGAGAAACCCGGCAGCATATGACAGAGGCACACTTAACAGCCAGAGGCAAGAAATGATCCTTCACATCACATCTCAAGGCAATTTCAAGGGCTTTTCCATCAACCACCAAAGCCAAGGGTGAATGTTGGTTGCTTTCTTTAGACATGATTCTGTAGAAACCATCAAGTTGGTTTATAATGTCTTCTTTCATTACCTGAAAACTAGAAAGACAAGAGCTGTAATTACCACTCAAAAATCATTAAGCCCTCCTGGAACAAAGGGAAAATAGACAATGAATATTCTAAATTTATACATATGTAGACATAATATGCGTGTGTATAGATAGATATTTGAAGTGTATTTTCACCTTCAGCTGATCATATGTTTCGGCTTCCTTGCCTAAACTGAGATGGAGTTGTTTCATGTCCTGCCTAAGTAAGCTGCAAGCATACCTGCCAAAATGAGAGGTTTAAGAAAACAAGAAAAATGAAGAACTTGATAGCTCTTGTTTCTCTTTTCTTGAGTAAGATAGAAAGCCTTACCCAATATTTATCGCGGTTTCTTTCTTGTCCCCAGTTAGTAACCATATTTTCATCCCTGCCTGAGCTAGTTTATCTATACATTCTGGAACCTGAAATTAGTTTCAAGGTTATCTTATACTTGCTTGTCTCCTAATTAACATTACAAGAAAAAAGGGAAAGAAAGGAATTACCCCTTTTTGTAACTTGTCTTCAACAGCAACTACCCCTAATAAAATTAAATCCTTCTCAATCATTTCAGATGCTTTTTCTAGTAGCTCTTCTCTTTCAGGACCGATTGTTGTCTTTGCTTGCGTAAATATTTTGTTCCAACTTTTATACTCAGAATCATCGAGTAAGCGATAAGCAAACGCTAAAGTGCGGAGGCCATCCTCGGCATAACTTGAAAGGTGTCTGGTTGTTGCTTCTTGATATGTCCTACCATTATCTGCTAGCCTATTAAAGATAATGCTGAAAACCAAAATTTATGTGATCTACCAAAAAAAAAAGGATGACAAGAAGCTTTTATAATCAAGAATAGAACATATTAAGTAAAAAACTGAAGATAAATTTTACACAAGGTTAAAAAAAAAAAAAAAAAAGTCTAACAAGAAATTGTTGGTATGTCAATGACATACCTATCTGCACCTTTGCATAGGAGAAAGATTTGACCATCTTCATTGCATACTATAACCGACATTCTCTTCCTGGAGCTACAGAACTCTAACAAATTTAGGAGCTTGTATTGCCTGAAATGAAACTTCCATTTAATATTTAAGGCTTTGCAATGCACAAAAACTATTGGAGAAAAAGAAAACTAGCATGCAAATATTTATTACCGAGTTATCATTACCTCTTCACCACCTTTCCAGAGTAAGGATCCACCTCCTTCAGAAACATTGTGGATTGAGTTCTTCCGTAAAATTGGAGCCCGAATTCCTGCGCAGCAATAAGGAAAGCAACTTCTTCAGGTGACTCCGCCTCATACTTGAGCATGTCAACTTTGTCATCCTCAACGGGTATGCCTGTGTGACAAAGAGCCATGACTCTAAAGAACATTGTTACATCGAACAAGTTGGAAGCATGGATCCACTTTTTGTTCATAATTCTATCATCCCAAAAGTTGAAACCCTTGATGTTAGATACTAATTTACACGCAGAAGAAATTTCTGAGTTTTCGTTGCTGCTCGGATTCTGCACACCCTTTTTGGTACCTAGAACTGCCATTTGGGTGCCAATATCAGCCATTGACGACTCAAATCCTTGAAGACTCTGGCTTCTTGTGTCCAAATCATCCGTGCAAAATTGAAATGCCTCAATGTCAACAATATTCATTATCTTGGATGCTTCAAGATCAACTTTATTAATATCACCCCCATATGAGATCCCAGCAATTGAGCATTTCCTGAACTCCATCTGGTTACATGTCAAAGTCCCTGTCTTATCCGAAAGGATCATTTCCACCTGACCGAGTTCTTCGTTCAAATTCGATGTTCGAGCTCTGACCGACTTGCACGAAACGTCATCATACATCTGTGTGTCCTTGTTGATTAGCAGGGCTTGTAAAACTTTGACGACTTCAATCGACACATAAAGAGAAATGGGGATCAAATAGCCATACAAAATAATTGCCCTCAAGAATTGGAGTAAACCAGATACCAGTACACTTGATGGATTGAAGAGTAAATCATCATTATCATCATTATTATCATCCTCCAAACGAAGGTACCACCCATTAACCATCCTTGTCTTAAGAAAAACAGAGAATCCGGTTGCTGTGAGTAATGAAATCAAAACCAGCATTGAAAAGAGAAGATAAATGACATGATCCATCTTTCTTTCAATTCGGCTTCTCTTAGATGGTACCATAGTGGAATTCCTGACTGCTTTGGCGTCTTTCCCAGTAAAGATGACAACCCCATAAATGTATTCCGTGTTTCGAAGCTTCGAATCTCTTAGGAGAAGTTGAACAGGACACAAGGGAAATGACTTATTCCTCAACTCCAAATTCCCAACAAAAGTGTAGAGTTGCGGATTAGGATCCTCGCAACGAATTATGGCTTTGAAATCACCGATTTCTTCATCTTTGTCCAAGTTGAGTGTTTCTTCTAAGCATCTTTTTACTTTGAGATTTGTTTCTCCATCAAGATTCATGGTCTCTATGTAACAAATGCCATCTTCATAGCTGGAAGATAGCAAGAGAATGTCACAAGGGAAATATTCATCTTTGGTAACTTTAACAACGTCTCCGACACAGACTTCTTTCCATGCTTTGCTCACAAATATACCTCCTCCTATATGAACTTGTACAAGTCTTGAGTTTACGTTCAAATCCTGCAAAAATAGAAATACAAATCTTCATAGATTAGAATTTCTCTTTATAACTACAAAAACATATATTGGTTACTAGAACTATAGCAGGTGAATGTTATGTTAAGTAACTCTTGATATGAATTTGCCATAACATTAATTCTTGGAAAGCTCCTAAATTGTATTTAATTTTGTTACTCATTTTCAGTTTCATTTTTGTAATTTAGATTCTAAAAATTATTATACTAATACTTAAGATGATTTTTATAGAGATTATTGTATAGTTGCTTTTTGTTTGTAATTACAATAGATTGTCCAAAAAAAAAAAAAAAAAAGGATTTGACAGTTTGGTCTTTTTATTCATTGAAGCACTTCAGTCCTTAAAATATCTTGGCTGTTGATTCTTTAAATTTAGGATTCAATTGAGCTAGAGATAATATCATAATTAGATTAATATTATATTTTCACTTAAGTTACTGTTGATCATGGCACTACTCCTAGCTAATATAAAATACATGAAATTAAAACACATGTACGTTGTAAAAAAATTTTAATTGCAGTACAAGGAATTTCCATTTCTCAACTGGTAAGAACTCAAACCAATCATAAAATGTCCTTCATCAAGCTAGGTAGTCAATATAAAATGAAAATCAAAATGTTGCAATAATTACATTATTTTAAAATTAATTAAGCTCGTTTCCTTGATCCTAAATTAACACATATTAATAGTAGATAATTAGCTACCTGCAAAAACCTGTGCCAATCCTCCACAGCCTCTTTAAGCATACTAATCCCAACAACAAACACCAATGGAGCAATCAAGCTCACCGAATCAAACGCAGTAATAGGCGAGAACGAAAGCAGTGCGGCCAAGAGAAAGTAGAGATTTGCTACTCTCCGGAACTGCTCAAAAAGTGCCTTGGGAAGAAAACTCACCACACTGTACTTAGCCGTTGAGACATAGTTCTTTGCATACTTGTAAGGCTTTGCCTTGTGCATGTGAGGTTCATTGCAGAAAACCAGCCGAGAAAACCCCGGTTGGCCGAAGACTACCGAGCTCAAGTCCTCGTTGACCATGGCGCCGCATGGTTTCATGCATGAAAATGAGTAGAGTTTGCTCCATTTTAGCTTCTTCTTCCTTGACACAGAAGGAGAAAACCCTGCCATTTTCATCAGTCATGACGAAACCTCTGAGCAACTAGAAGAGAAATCTAGCTAGCTACTTGATCATGTATATATAAACATATATAAAAAAATATCGTTGTAAACGTATTGTTGGTTTATCCAGAAAAAAAGAGCCAAAAAATGTTATTTAGTCACAAAGTTCTTGAGATTGTCTTTTCTGCTGTCTGATTGATCTAATCCGGCAGCCAAAACCTGCTTTAACATTATATTAATTAATTTTACTTGTATTTTTTTATTTTTTATTTATTTGCATAGCGGAGAAGAGAAATTTCCGATGCACAGATTTTGGAATTTCTTGGATCAAGCAGCAGGCCTGAATCAGCTTGCCGTACTTGACGACGAGTAAACAACATGATAGCCTCCTCGTATGCATATATATATATATATATATATATATATGAGATTCTCTGGTACACATGGCATAGCAGTAGGTTAAGTTATTTTAACTGTTAGATTTACATATATTTTTTTTTTACTTTTACGTGTTTTTATACAAATTCGTCAGACAAAAAACCTAACCTTAGGGCTGTTCATGGGTTGGGTTGGTGCGGGGTAAGACTTTTTTTCCCCGCCCCAAAGGGTGCGGGTTGCACATATTTGGCCCCAACGATGTTAGAAAAATTTCACAACCCAACGATGTTCGGGTTGGGTTGGGGCGGTGCGGGGTGGGTTGGGTGGTCGGTTTCAACATTCAAAAAATCAAAGACTTAAAGTTCAATATAATATTCAAACTTCATTATTAAATAGAAATAGCAACTATCCTTATCAGTCCGGCGAGAGAGCACCGGAGAAAGTGGGCAAGACGGCAGCCGAGAGGACTGAGCAATGAGGAGAGAGTTATGAGGGGGTTCACGGGAGGGGAAGAAGAGGGAAAACTGAAAAGGAAGAGGCAAGAAGAGGGGGTTCACGGGAGGGGAGACCGAGAATGAGATTGTGAACCCTAATGTTAGTGAGCCTAGGGTAGAACTTAGGCAGTTTGGCTTGGGCCAAAAGCTTGGGGGTATGTTGTGCGGGTTGGGTTGGGGATTGCGGGTTGTTATGGGCCCAACCCGTAATCCGCCCCAAACACTTCGGGCCAGAGGTATAATGAGCCGCAAATTTAAAAATAATGCTGCGGGTTACTTTTTTCGGCTTGGGTTGGGGCGGGGTGGGTTGGGTTTACAGGTTGTTCGGGTTTATGAACCGCCCTACCTAACCTACTAGTATATTAACGTACCAAAAAAAGTTTATATATATATTATTCTGTAAAATGGCTCAATTGTACTGATTAATATTGATTTTTTAATATTATTTTTATACTAGTTGAAACCATGGAGCTACATGTGAATATTGTATTGGTTAGTGCAAGCTGCAAAATAGCCAATATCCTTCATAATTTGCTTAGTATTACATAAAAAATATCAAGAGATATATGTAAAAATATCAAGAATTGAATTATAATTGACATATGTTCTTTCTTTTATAGAATTCTAATTATTTATTGAGATAGCTAGTAACCCTAAAACAGTAACAACACAAGAATCAAACACAAGACATTAGAAATGTAACACCCACAACAAGAAATAACATGTCAACTATGTGGCTGAGCTCCATGCAAAAGAAAAGTAAAAGAAGATTATTAAAAGTTTTACATAAGCTATGAGAATATAAAATAAAAGAATAAATTTTTAACATAAAAGAAGATTATTAAAATTCATATTTTATACTTTAGAAGTAAAAAAAAAAAAAAATTTAGTAGGCAATTAAAAAAATATATTTATAAAGACCACATTTTACAAAATGATACTTAAGAATGTTGTAAGAAAGATATTTTAATATTTTGAGAAAATTATTTAATAAGGATAAAAAGGATAAAAAGATATTTTCATCATACGCAATTAAGAATACAAGATTTTTGAGGCAAAAGGAAAAGTTAGAGAAAGAGAGAAAACGGCGAATGGAGAAAGAAAAAAAGAAAAAGAATGGAGATGAAGAAGAAAGAAGGGAAAAAATCAACAACAACAAAAAAAAAAGTCACGAAAACATTTTAAAAAATTGAAAGAGAGAGGGCACAAGGTGAAGACAAAATAATTGAACCAAAAGTTTGAATAATCATTTGTGAGATGATGAATAGTAAATGCATTGAACTTTCTATATATGTTATAGATTGTTTTATTGTTTATCAACAATATAGGTTGATTAACAAGGATCGATAATTAAGTGCGAATCAGTGCATATATTTTTACATGTTGCATACACTGAAAGATGTTTGTGATGTAGAGGAATATTGTTGGAAGTTGAATTTGTCTATGGTATTAGGGGAGAAAGAAAATTTGTTCTGCATAACCCCGTTTGATATAGTATTAGGGGAGAATGAAAAGAAAAAAAAGTAAGAAAAATTTGCTGAAATTACTTTTAAAGTGCATGGTCTGAATTTTTACTCCATTATTTAAATTAATACTATTTTAACTAATATAATTATTTGATTAAAAAAGATAGCGTAAGTGATAAAAATTCAGATCCATATACTATAAGGGATATTTGTCTCATTTTTCCTTTTAAAATAATAGATTTATAGTAAATAATTGAAGTAAATAGTAGATTTTAAAACTATGTGAAGTAAATAATAGTAAATTAAAAATTTACATAGTAAAATTTTTTTACTAATCATAAATAAAAAATTTACAATTATTTACTTTAAATATTTAAAAATATGTTATTTACTTAATTTAGTTTCATGTATGTCTTTTCCTTCAAAAAAAAAAAAAAGTTATTTACTATAATTTTTATGGTATCTAGATTTGAGCTAGCTTTCAGGCTTGACTTCTACCCAAGCCCATTTATAAAATATCATTAATTTTCATGACACGTGATACAAGAATAAACTAGCTATAGAGAATCATGCAAAAATTAATGCCTCTAGAGTTGAGATTATTCAAGATTAATGTTATATATGTTTGCTAGGGAAGAAAGAAAAGAAAGTATGAAAGATTTTTATTTTTCTTTATATTGTTTAATATTATGATAGAAAAGAGAGAACCAATTAACATTCTCTCGTTGTTTGGTATTGCAAATGAAATTAGAAGGAAATAAATCTTTTCTTTCTTTTTTTTTTTTTTTTGTGCGAAATCACCATTTCACTTGTCTTTGTTCTTAAATTTCTGAGATATATTTTGGTAACAGATATAGAATTTTGATAATTTTAGTAGAATAATCCTTTTTTTAGAGTTCTCTTTTTACCTTCTCCTGGGGAAAGAGATTGAAGAAATTAGGGGAAAAAATCAGAAATACCTAGGGCTGTTCATGGGTTGGGTTGGTGCGGGGTAAGACTTTTTCTTCCCCCGTCCCAAAAGGTGCGGGTTGCACATATTTGGCCCTAACGATGTTAGAAAAATTTCACAATCCAATGATGTTTAGGTTGGGTTGGGGAGGTGCGGGGTGGGTTGGGTGGTCGGTTTCAACATTCAAAGAATCAAATACTCAAAGTTTAATATAACATTCAAATTTCATCATCAAATAGAAATAATAACTCCAACATTCAAACATATAGAAATTCAAAGTTCAATCCAACATCAAACATGAAGCAAAGTAGTCCATCCAACATCAAACATAAATTAGTCTACACTCATAAATTTGTCTTAACATAAAGCAAACATAGAGACTTAATTCAAACATGAAGAAACTAGAGAGTAGAAATGAGTTGCATGCCTAGGGTTAGATATTAGAGTAGGCAAGTTAGAGCGCGGGTTGGGTTGGAGTGTGTGGGCCATTATAGGCCTAACCTATACCCTGTCCCAAAATTTCGGGCTAGACATTAAATGAGCCGAAATAAAAAATTTAATACTAGAAATTACATTTTTCGAGTTGGGTTGGAGTGGGGTGGGTTAGGCCTGCTGGTTTTGCGGGTTTATGAACAGCCCTAGAAATACTACTTAAAATGATACAAAAATATTATTTATGTTAATTTATTAAAAAATAAATTATTATCATTCATTATTATTAACTCGAATTAGCCCCGTTCATTTCGCCGATTCGAGTTTAGAATTCGAGTTTTGCTACAGTAAAAAGCTCTCAGAAACAGTCACATCTAACTTTTTTGCTACAGTAAAAAGCTCTCACACAAAATCACATCTCAACTCGAATTATAAACTCGAAACATCGCTAAGTTATTGAGTTGTTGTAGTCAAAATTGTAACACATCACTAAGTTATTGGGTTGCTATGGTGTCTGTATGCGGATTTGACAACCTTTTTTTAACTAATTTTAAGACATGAGTTTTACCCAAAATTATTGATCAACTACCATTGTAATTCTTCATAGCACTAGGTACAAGAATAAAGTAGGTTTAGATAATCATGCAAAAATTATTGCAACCTATAGTCTAAATAATTCAAGATTAATGCTATATATGTTAGCAAGGGAAGAAAGAAAAGAAAAATGATGAAAAGAAGTGACAAAAAGAAGGTTTTTTATTTTTCCTTTGCATTGTTTAATATAATGATAGAAAAAAGATAACTAATTGACCTTCTCTTGTTGTTTGGTATTGCAAATGAAATTAAAAGGAAAGAATTGGTATTTTTTGCGAAATCATCATTTCACTCATCTTTATTCTTACTTTCTTAAGATTTTGGTAATAGATGGGGATATTTTGATAATTTTTCTGCCATAATCCTTCTGTCAGAGTTCTCTCTTTGCCTTTCCTCTTGAGAGAGAGAAAAAATTATGGATCCAATAAAGATTTTAATCTCCTTAATTTTTCCTCCCAAGAATCTTGCCAAATAAATTAGTGTATGTTTGGTATATGGGTTCGTTATAGTGCAAATCTATAGTTTGGTCTAGCTATATTGTTTTTTCCTCACAAAAATTTGAATTTCAAAAGTCATAATTAAAAGGGAGAATGTAGTAAATAGCATATTTATAAAACTAAATGAAGTAAATAACATATTTTAAAACTATTTTAAGTAAATAGCAATATACGTGGTAAATGATTCATTTA